ATTTGCTGCTGAGCCACCTGACCTACCACTACCTGTTGCTGCTGTGGCTGTGCCAGACTCTGCTGGATGGTCCCTATTGACGTTTTAGGTTGCTGCTGTATGACCTGACCCGACCCTTGTACGTAGATGAGGCCCTGATGACCTGCCGTGGCCTGCGCCTGCGTGGCAACCACCTGCTGCACCATCTGAACCACCTGTCTTGCACCTCCTGGCTGTACTATCTGCACCAGCTTCTGCGTTGTGTTCGTAGGCGACGCGTGTTGCAACCTCACTACCTGCTGCTGCTGCTGTTGCTGTATGACGGGGGTGTGGGCAACCCGAACCACTTGCTGACCACCCTGCTGGACCCCCTGACTAATGACCATGGGCTTGAAGGTTGTGGTCGCTCCGCCAGTGGCCTGCTGAACCACTGCTGGTGTCGCTTGCGTTGTCACCTGGCTGCTTGGCACCACACGCTGCTGTACCACAAACTGTTGCTGCTGGCCCCCTGGTGACGTGGCCTGGAAGCTGACTGCCTGTGGAGTGCCACTCGTAGTGGCTTTCTGGACCACTGCATGCTGGAGGGCCCCCTGCACCTGCTGGTTCGCATTGACGACTGTGGTAGCAAGAGTGTGCTGGGAGGCGGGCACGGAGGTTGTGGCAGGGGCGCTGGAAGTGGCTGTCACCAGCTGGTTGTACACCCGCTGCGGCACACCCACACGCTGGTACACCGTCTGCTGCTGGCTTCCACTGGATGCCACCACTTGTGTGGCTGTACCTGTATCCTTCAGCACATGTGCTTGGGTCACTGGTACAACCTGTCTCACCACCTGTTGCTGCACTACACCAGTTGCCCGGGGAACTGCGGCCATGCCTGGGTGGACCACTGTAGCTGTTCTGGAGACTCCTTGGGGCGAGATGATGTGAGCTTGTTGCTGGATCACTTGCTGCTGTTGCTGTGGTGCGGGCGGCGGGGAGGCTTCCTGGAGAATGGGCGTTGTACAGGACACGACCTGTACCTTGGCGGCAGTGTTGGCTGCTATCTGAGTCTGTTGTGCCTTCTGGCCTGCCTGACCAGGGGTGACAGCTCCAGGGGTGAGGGAGAGGGTATAGCCTCCTCGCCCATTGGGCAGAGCAACAATCTTGCTCCCAGTGCGCTGCATCAGCTGAGCCAATGACTCAGACTCCAGCTTGAGTTGTACTTGACCCCCAGCACCAGGCACTGCCATGCTTGTGACTGTTACTGCTTGTCCCAAAGGCTGTGAGCTGGCAAGAGTTACTGGTGCTGGGGTCTGGACCACTGCCTGCTGCTGCTGCTGTGGCTGTTGCTGTCCGACTGTCTGCTGTTGCGGCTGTTGCTGCTGCACTACCACCTGTGTCCCAGGCTGATGTGGACTAGCACCGACATTGCTGTGAGCCATGCCAGACGACACAGCTATTCTGTTAACCACTGGTGTCCCAGGTGGTCTGGGGGAGGAGGCAATTACCGTGGGAGCTGGCTGTCTGTTGCTGACCTGCTGACTGACAGTCATGACATTGTGGGTGGACGAACCAAGACTGGTATTGCTCCTGACAGTGGGCGGCACCACAGACGACACTACCGACGGCGACGCCGACACCAGCCTCGTTGTGGCAAGGGCTGTCTGGTGGTTAGGATTCTGCAGTGCCACAGCGCCTGGCACTAGTGTGCCTGTGGGTCGACTTGGTGTAGAAATGGTCAGTGGCCTGGTGGGCTTTGACACTCCCCGGTATGCAAGAGCAAGAGTGTTGGGAGGATTAGGTGCCGAGGTCACCATGTTGGACACGGGTGCTACGCGTGGACCAGAGGGCGAGGTGCTTGTGGAGAGGGCCTGGAGAGCGGTGGCAGGTCTCGGCTGAGTCAGAGCTGAGGTAGGCGGGACGGCACTGTTACCAGACTGAGTGGTGCTGGGGCTTGGCTTCTCTGTGGCCTCCCCATCTGGCATGCCTGGAATGTTGTGTGTTATCATGTGAGCATTGGTGTTAACAGTGTAAGTCTGGCCGTGGTGCTGCAGTTTGATCTGAGACACGGGGCCCTTGGTACTGGGACGCATGTACTTGACCAGCTGCAGTGCTTGCTCACCCACCACGCGCACGTACACCGGCGAACCCTGGTTGTTGATGGCTGCCACCACCACCGTGGGGACTCCTGGCTTTAGGCTGGAGTTCTGAACAGTCTCACTGGGCGCACTGACACCTGTTTTCAGAGGAGTATGTGTGCTGTCCTTCTTAGCCCCAGACACAAGCTGGCTAGCCAAGTTCCTCACTGATGATATGTCAACTCCTCTGTCACTCTTGGCGTCCTTCACTGCACTGCCTGAGTGAACCTGTCCCTCATTGTCAATGTAGCCCATCAGCCGCCCTGTCTGTGACATGAGGTAACGCCGCACCCCTGACATCGGCTGGTGACTGTTGCTACTGCTGCTGTTACTGTTCTCCTGCTCTTCACGTTCCCTCTCTTCCTCCTCCTTCTTCCTCTTCTTCCTCACCCTCTCCTGCTCAGCCTCCAGTGAGGCCTGTAGTGCCAGCTTCTCAAAGTCTAGCCCATCATAGTTGATCATTTTCTTGACCTTGCGTATACGGCCCCTTGATGAGACGGCATAGCCATCTGAGGTCTCCTCTGGTGTGGCAACACTGGTCACCTCAGGGGCCGGTGCCGTGTTCTCCATGATCAGCGAAGCTGCCTGCTGCTTCGCCCGCCGCTTCCGTAACTTTCGCTTTGGGTTCCCCTCCTCTGTGAGGACAAAGTCACATTAGGGAGTTAAACAATGAGGGACCAATTCTGATAAACAGACTAGACTAACCTCACACATGTACGCTAATTGATCAAAAACCGAAAACTGAGACTAATCATGAACAACCATCTCCCTCCTGCAACCTAAATGCTATTAACATACGAACAATCTAGCTTTCTCACCATCCAGGGACTCCTCACTAGATGACGAGGATGAGGAGGACTCTTGGGGTGGTGGCGGGGGAGGTTCTGGCTCTGGCTCAGGGTCACTTGCCCAGGCCTCCTCGGCCGGGTCTATGTAATTTTCATCTCTGGAAGGACAATGAGAAGACATATTAGTTTCTGATTTTGGATCATGTGTTGGGTGGCTGACAGCATCAGTATTATAGGTAATGTCATTCGAGCAATTCATCCCCCCCCTCTCTCTTTCTCTCTCTCTCTCTCATTCACTCACACACACAAACAAACTCACCTCTTTTGGTAATCCGTCCATTCGTGCCTCATCTTGGTCCGCATTCTCTTGTTGGCTGCCAACAGTTTAGATTCCCAGGGGCTGAGCTCACTGAGCAGGTTGCAAAGAGCACGGTGGAGCTTTACCTCACACAAGGGACGCTTTCCTTGGGGGCGGGTTTCCTCCTGTTTGGGGAAGAATGGTTAATTGACTGGACAATGGAGGCAGGCACCTCGGGTGGTTTTAATCCCTGGGACACTGGGATAGGGTTGTGTGGGTGGGGATGATCAAGTCTTGCATTTCATGTTGTGTAAAAAAAAAAGGATTATGATGATGAAGAAGAAGAAGAAGATGTGCTAATGACTGATAATGATAATTAGAACAGATAGACATATGCTGTAGAGAACAATTGACATCTAAAATTATACAAAGGGTTATGAAATACTTGGGATGCTGGTGTGTAACATTCAAATTGGCATGTGTTTTATACTAGTCTTACTCTTGGCATCTGTATCCCAAAATAAAAAACTATTCTCCATTCTGCATATTAACTTTGAAACAGCATATGGCCTAGTTACAGTTAAGATGCACTTCTTCTATGTATCCAGCAATGATATGAATAATGAATCCCCCCAAAAAAGCATCTTTAAACAACAAGATAGACCTTTGCCTTGGTCTCTTTGATATAAAAAATCTATCACACTTGAGTAAAAGTATTGTATTGCCATACTTCACACTCCTTTGGTGCTGAAAATATCAGCTTACTTTGATTTCTTTTTTATATATTTCAGTAATATGAAAACTAATTTGGAATAACAGGACGACAATGGCTAGGAAATACTAATCAGGTCCAATTTTCTTGTGCCTGCCTAATCAAGGTCCGAAAAGAGAGAGATAGATCTGTCACATCCAAAACATGTTTCTGATGTTCAAGCGCTCTTTTCAGACGACATGGATGACGGCCCCTGAGTGTTTCTTATGTTCAAGCGCTCTTTTCAGATGACATGGATGACGGCCCCTGAGGTTAAGTACAAGACATACTATGTTATGCAATACTACCTATACAGGAGAGGAGACAGGAGGTGGGGGAGAGAGAGGGAAGATTGAGGGAGGAGGGAAGCAGGGGGGAGAGAGGGAAACGGAGAGAGCTGGAGATGAAGGACCGGTGGAAGAAACTCCGTATATGAGAAGAAAATGTGGACGTAAAAAGGGGAGGTTCTGTTTAGCTGTACATAAAAGCACGGAGCGGTTCGTCGAAATCAGCGTCGTAGGGACGGTGAACGAAAGAGAAGAACCAAATAAAAGAAAAGATTAACAGGGGGGGAGAGCAGGAATAATAATACATAAGGAATAAAAAAAAAAGTGGATAAACCAAAAAAATAAAAAAGAAAGGAGGGGAACAATAAAAACGAAACTAGTAAAACAGAAAGGGAATTGACTACAATAACAGTATAAAAAAAAAACTTGAGATCGCTGTATCACCCTGATATGAAAGATGTAGTCAAACAAAGTCGAATCATTACGCAGAAAAAAGAAAAGAATCTTACCTCACGAAAAAGAGATAGAAAAAGACAGCGGGGGGGGGGGGGGGGAGGGGAGGAGGGAGAGATGGAAGATTGAGGTAGGGAGGGTGAGAGGACAGATGAGGGAGGGAGGGAGGGAGGGAGAAAGGGAGAGAGGGAAAGGGAGGGGAGAGAGGGAAAGGGAGGGAGGAGGGAGGAGGAGAGGGAGAGGGAAGAGGGTAGAGGGAGTGGGAAGAGGGAGTGGGAGGGAGAGGAGTGGGGAGGCGCGGCAGGGCCGTGGGAACGTGGGGATCGT